CGTGGAGGACAGGAAGGCGGGTGGGGAGGTGGTAACTGCTTGGAGGGAGAGTCCCCCTCCCTACAGGAAGCCGCAACCACATGTCACAGGAGGGAAAATGGCTACGGATCCTGTTCGTCACCCGATCCGGCGTACGTGAATGGAAGCAAAATTTTGCTAACGGAGCTGTTCGTGAACCAAATTGTTCGTGAACAGATCTTCATAGTTCCTGTTTTTGCACCATATAGATAAATGTAGTGGTAATATTTTCTGTGAGCATGAAACTGTGCAAACTCAGGGAGGCAGTGAAGGACAGGAAGGTCTGGCGCAATATGGTTCATGGGGTCACGAAGAGTCGGACACGACTTAACGACTGAACAACAAAAATATTTTCTGAGCTCCATTTAAGAGGAACATAAATCACTGACTGGAGAACAGTAAACTTCTTTCTGACTTTATACTCTGCATGAGCTTTCATTGAAACATACATTTTGAACTTCCCAGTAATTCTCCAAGAGAAAGCCTTCAACAATACACAGATAAGCTTTTAATTGGCATTTGTTCCCAAATGATTTAGGCTAGGGCTGCAGTATTAGAACTTAGCCCATTTTTTTTTTGTATTAGTGTATTGAGAAAGAGAAAGCTATGGCTATTCGTTAAAGTTAAGATAGTAAAACTTTTTGTTCATTGTGCAAAACTGATTTTTTATTAACAGTATTAAAACCCCATTTTAACTCATATGTAAATCATAAGTGTAAAATGGTTTAGCAGAATCTTCTGTTAATATAATCCAGAGTATGGTGTTAAAGTTGTCCCATTTTGTACTATTACTTTTGAGCATCTGTATAATTTGACTTTAATCTGCATAGTTTTGTGATCTAGCAAAAAATGTATATTTTTGGTCCAAAAAAGGTCACATTCAGAATATGTAGGCTCTTAGTTTCTCAAAACTTATGAACAAGGATAAGTAGTATTTTTGTGGCTGAAAAAAACTTGTTGCCCCTTAAATGCCTCAGAGTACATGGTGATGATGTCACTTGAGAGTACAGGACTCACTTTTTTCATGGAGTGGATTTGGGTGATGGTGATGATTATGATGATAAAGAAATTCACTCCAAAATTCAGTGGTGGATTCCTGAACGCTGCAGGGCACACACACACAGGCCGAGAGGTTGCCCATATCTTGCTCATCCATGTGGTAAAACAAGGATAGTTTCACAGTTCTATGAATAAATTACTTTAACTGATTGTAAACCTTTGTTAAAGTTGGTAACTAAGGGTGGGATGGTAATAGGTAGTAATGATTATTCAGCAGGCTTTGATGTGAAATTGGTTTATGTTTAAAAGTGGGAATGGTAAAGCTTCCAGATGTTAGTGTGTTGGTGATCATTCTGTAACAGTGAACAGTTACTTCAAATGTTGCTTTTTTTCTGGATTAGATAAATCACATACTCTAACATTTTCCTTCAATATTTAATTAATTGGTCTCTGAATTCAGCTCTTATTGAATTCATTCAAAGGAAAATGTAAGGTGTTTAGCAAAAATATATCCAACTTAAGATTGTGCATGGGCACCAAACTTTATGGTTCATTACATAGAAATGCATTTTTAGGAATGATATTTTTAGTCAGATGTAACTAAAAAAAATTGCTGACTACTCAGAAAGACATATGTTGCATCTGGGTTTGCTTTGTGGTGATTCCCTAACACTAAATATAGATACTTAGCATCCACCATCATTACAGAGAGGCACCTCTTTGGTCTTAATTGGAAGTGTATAATGAAAAATAAATAAATTCTGTGTTATATTGAGCTTTTAAATCTACAGAGATAGAATTTCTTTACTGGTAGAATTTTTATTGACTGAAAACTCTGTTTTAGTTTCTTTATCTAAATTAACATGTATGTGCATTTTTTTCTTAAGGTTTGTGTTTTTTCTGGAGCCATGCAATGTAGATTTAGTACATCGGAAGATCAAGTCCATTGCTCTCTGTGTATCAGCATGCCCACGTAGTGAGTTGAAAACTCTGGCTGACATTCAGAAATTTGCAGATATTAATGGTAAGGTGAAAAACAATCTTATTTCTCATTTTATTAAGTATCGTTTGGAAATTATTAATAACACATCAAAAAGCAACTATCATGCAATGTCTTTAAACAGGCTTTCCTTTTTCTTGGACAGAATGAAATGCTTTATCTAAGATGGCTGCAAATATATATGATCTTATAAACTTTGCATCTTAAAGAAACAAAACAAAAATTAACCACTGTTTTTTCATATCCAAATGTATAGAGTTTTAATTGGGCTAGAGGAATTAAAGCTTGTAAGATTAATCAAATTTTCCTAATCTGGTGACAACCCCTTTCTTACAGTAACAGTGTTGTTACAATGTTTGAGTTTTTGTTCTGAAGCTCTGCACTGGTTCTTTGATGTTATACCCTGTAAAAGACTGATGGTCCAAGAATTGTTTCCAGCAAAGATCATTTTGATGAGAAAGCAGTATTATTTATTTTTATTTATTAGATTTATATCCTGCCTTTCCTCTACAAGCTCAAGGTGGCATCCATAACTCTCTCAGTTTTTTCTACAACAAAAAGCTGTTGAGGTAGGTTGGTAACTGAGAGAAAGTAACTGAGCGTGGACTTGAAATTGGATCTATTCATAATCCAGCACCCTAACTACTACACCATACTGGCTTTCTAACATGGAAGCATTTTATAAACTAATAAACAACATTGCCCCTCCCTCCCTCCCTGCCTCCCGTCTTCCTTCCTGGAGTAGTTTGATTGAATTACTTTCTTTTTATTATGTGTCAGAAATATATATTATGCATAAATATTGATAATGCTGATACAAATGCATAGGTTGTTCCTAAGCTGCACATATGCTTGGAGAAAAGGTGCTTTTTTGTATTTATATGTGCACTTTTATTTAAAACAAATACATTAAAAGAGTTCTCAGAACTTAAACAGGGACAGGAGACTTATGCGGTGTTCTCCAGGGCATCACACTGCTCTAGATTGAAACCTGACAATGTGAAAACTTTTCTGCACATAAAGTGCCAGATGCTGGGAAGACTTCTCGACAGATTTATTTTCCAAATATGCTGCTTTTCAGTGTCTAAGAAGGTTTTTAATGGAATATTGATGCATTCAAACCTGCATTTCACTAGATGCGACTCAGTATGTTTTTATGTATGTGCCAGTTTGACAAAAGTGTGCACCGCATTACACCCTGATGCCTTCCAGATGTTGTTGGTCTTTTGAATGATACCAGGTGAGAGAAAGGTACTGAAGGCAATACTATGGCATTATATGCCAAGTGTGAGATTCTTTGTGTCTCCGGAACAGTAAGAGAAGGAAAAGTATGTCCACTTGTGCTAGTTCTACCACTAGGCCGAAATTAACCCAAGATACACACCTACCCAAACAAGTAGCTGCCAACAGGTAATAGGCGAAAAGCAGGAGGAGATGCCAATCTCTAGTTTTAAAAGGCTTTGAAAACCCATTAGTTTCAAATGGCTTAATTGATGGGCTTTATTGGCCATGCTGTGTTTAAGTGATGCTTAATTGCTGTCACTCTTTACTTTTTTTAAAAAAAAATGCTTTTTAATTTTCAAATTTTAAAGTTTTATTAAATTAGGTTACTGTGTTTTTGTGCCTGTATTTTAGTTACCACTTAGGTGGTTTTAATGGCTTATCAGTATTTAAATAGCAAGGAATAAACATGCTGTTCCTCTGAAAGACTGGTGTAAACTATTTGAGTAACTTGGCAAGGAAGTTGAAGGCATAACTGTGGTGGTGAGATAAGATTACTTAGAAATCTCCTCCCCTCCCTAGTTTACTTAAGCCCAGGATCAGTAACCCTCTTTCACATAAGAACCAGAGGCTGTTCTGCCATTGCCATTTCTTCCTCCTCCTCCTCTGCCTCACAGCGCCAGACAGGGGACTTGTTGGTTCACCCGCGGCAAGGTGACTGGTGAAGCTGTCACCAAAATGGCTTCCCAAGCAGGCCACGAGTGCTCACAAGAGCAGCCAAGTCTCTCTTGTGGGCTGGGTGGATATATACTGGGGCTATGGTCCTGATGATTTCAGATGGTGGGCCGTATTGGCCCATAGGCAGTATGTTGCCGACCTTGACTTAAACAAAGATGTTAACTTGCTTGACAACAACCAAAGCACAGAACTGCAACCAAGGAAGTAAAGTCAGGAACATGAAAATAGCCTTATATATTTGACCTAGCTTATGTAATATGTAACTAAGTTAGGTGTAATGTGGCTACAGGAATTAGGAATAAAATCCAGCCGTTCTGAGTCAGAAATTGAAGTCCTGCTTAAACAGAGTGCAACTCAATTCTGCCTACTCACCTCAGATTAAAGCCGCTTAGAAAAGATTTGGTGTTAACGTATAAGAAATGTGATTGTGAAATTTATACCAGTAAATTCCTAACTTGATGTAGGGAATATTCCATGTAGTAGGAAAACTCTAGAAACATCCTACCTGTGGCAAACGTGCAGTGCAATCCTGTCATATGTACTTCTAAGTAAATCTCACTGCAGTCATTGAGACTTACAACATGACAAGTGTTGCAGTATGTTAGGACTGCAGTATGTTGGATGAAACACAAATTGGGAAAAATAGTTCCTGTTGATTTTGCTTGTAGAAATGGAAACAGTTTGGCCTCTTCAGATAAACTTCAGGAGATTAAACTTGCTGTATTTCTAACCCTCTGTATTTCAGTAAGAATGTTCATTGTATTTAAAATACTAATACTAGAATTTGATAGTTTAAGTTTGTCACAGTTTTAAAAGCTTATTTTGTATATCTCTGAAGTTTTATTCTGTTGCGCCACCCCTTTAAGGTTTTTAAATTAGCACCATCCTGTTAATCCAGGGCATTAGATTTTATCAGAAAAGACGTTCTAATCTCCTTTCACCTTATGCAACCTTGAGGAGCAGCTGCTTGTCCTTGAAGTAAGCATATTAGATGCAAATGCTAACCGGCAGGACAAACTGGTAGTAATAAGAAAAAAGTAAGAGAGCACTATTATTATGAGGGGAGATTTCTTAGTTGAATTTTAATGATGAAAATGATATGGGAGGTTAATTGTTTAATTTGAGGGCTCTCCAAGTGTGGCTCAGAGGGATTGTGAGGCACAGATATTATGGTATTATTTCTTATCCCTTTGCTTCTCTTCCTCTTAAACAGTCATTCCTTACAAACGGCCACAGCAATAACATTCAAACTGGACGAACTGCTTTGTAAACATTTGGTTAGCCACAAAGTGGGATTGGATACCAGATTTGAAATATTGGTTTGTGCCATATGATGATTTGGACAAGCTGTAGCTTGTCCAGCTGGCTTTTAATGGTACACTTGGCCAATCACTAATTGTCTGAAGAAAGAAAGAAAAGCCTGAGTCAGAAAGTCAAGGAGCAGTACACAGAGTTCTTTGAAAATCTCCCTTTTGGATTTTTGGGAGTACCTTTGATATGGAAAACTTCAGAAAACCTAAAAGGGGATTGCAGTTATGTGTTTATACAGAATTGGAAGTGCAGGTATATTACCAGAATACGATTCAGTAATTTGTGTGAACTGGCCCAGTGTGACACTAACCTCAAGCCTTAGTTCTGTTTCCATTCCTCTTGCAACACATCTACATTTTCAGCTTCTCAGAAAGTTCACAAACCAGTTTCTCAACTTTTCCCATTTCAGAGAAAAAATTCTGTTTTGCTGAGAACTGCAAAGCAAAAGCAATAATTATGTCACATGAGAGAAAAGATTGAACCAAATCCATGACTTAAAACTGAGCTGATTTTTAAGTTACTTTTGTGTGTTTTTATTTTAGGTTTTAAAAGGTATTTTTATTTTAGGTTGTTTTTCATTTGCTATAGCAACTTTGTATTAGGCTTTTAGTGAAATAAACAGTTTCACTTCTTTTTCTTACTAGACATTTTAAAGAGGATACAGTTGGTCCCCAGTTTAAGAATGTATTCTGTTCCCAAGGTCTGTCCTTAAGTCAAATTTGTATGCAAGTTGGAACAGTATTATTGTATAATACTACATAAGTAGTATTGTGTAATGAACTCGGACCATTGTGTATTTAAATCGAATCATTGTCTATTTAACATGGATTTTGCTACAATAGGCTCTGTTCTTAATGATGGGTCATCTGTAAACGGGGCATTCTTAAATCAGGGACTATCTGTATATAAACAGAAATTTAAAAAAACAAGAAAAAGATAAAAGAATAAAATACAAATGAATAAATAAGGAATTAAAAATGTCATAAAGATTATAATTCTCTAGCATTTCATTAGTTAATTATGAATAACTGAATATATATCAAGATTAAAAATTGCTATTAAGCTCTGAGGTAAACATGAAGATCAAAAACCATGGTCAACACAGTATAATTCATCAAGTAAGATTATGTGCTGCAGCAAATTCAGTCCATGTTGCTAAGAGTCTCTTCTAATTTAGCTATCTTGTAAAATTGAAATATGGACTCTACGCATTGAAAAACCCAAATTTTGGATGGAGATTGATTTGATTTATAGGGCTTCCCAACTCAACCAGTGTGACTCTGGGTGATGTACAAGAAGAAACAAAAATAACCAAAATAATCACATAACATTAAAAACATATCCAAGGTATAAAATGATGACCAAGCATACTAATGGAACAACCAGAAGGGGACTTCACCCAACTGGACCCAAGCACCTGGGGAAAGAGTTAGGTTGTGGTACATGGATGTGGTATAAATCCATATATTGTAGTCAAGCAATGGTTTCCAGTTTGAATTGAATTCTATATCAGGTTTATTTTTAAGATGCTAGACATCGAAGCACACTCCCACAACTTAGTTAGCTGTTCTTCCAATGAGAGGATCAGACAACCTTTCCAGTAAAAATCATATAATATCTATGCAGCAATTAGCATAAACAAGGCTAATTCAGTATGCTTTGAAGGACTATATGGTTTTGCAAAATTCAGCAAGAATATCGCAAGTTGAAATAGCAGCTTAACTCAAAAGCAATACTCTAAATGTCTTAGCTTG